TATATATAATAGAGCACTATGGGAGAGTACAGAAGAATCTCCATACTTCTGTATTTCTGAGTCCTTCCATGAGGTAGTCATTGACCCGTGTATGTAAATTTCACATTGAATTATTGAGGTCTGTAGATAACAGGTTTTTTAAAGGTGCCAGGGAGAACAATTTGTAAAAAGGAGTCTGCAACTTTATTTGCAGACTAAAAGAAAGTACACAATATCAATGTATGGGTGTATTCTCTAAGCATTGCTATAAGCGTTGCTATTTTGCAAAGGCCTCTTTTATATTGCTGTATTCAGGAGTCCCCTACATTACACTATCAGCAAGGCTCTGTTGAATGGGCTACAAAGTGATGTGGCAGACATGTAGCATAGAGGGTGCACCCTGTTTGTTAGCTGGATAGTTATTTGTAAGTTTGGACCAAGCTTTAACAAAGGATGAGCACTGTTCCCCAAGGGTCCTTTTCCTAGGCGGGGTCCTTTCCCTTTATAAATGTTAATATTCGCGCTTGTGGATGTCCCCCCTTTTAATTATGAATGAATAAATAACTGACAGCTGCAGCGAAAGACCAGGGTCCTGGTTGGAGGACCCTTGGCTGGAGTTCAGAACCTAGAGGGCTTGACTTTCTTCCATGCTCTGTGTATGGGACATAGGCGACCTCTTGCAGGCCGTGTGCATTGGAATTTGATGACCTTAGTAGGCTGAGTGCCTGGAAGCTGTAGTCTGAAGCTACATTTAGAGAACAGGAACTGAGCAATGCAAGAAGTTGAAGAGATTTACTCCAATGATAGCTGTGTGCTTCTGGAGTTAAACCCCACCCAGAGTATGACAGCCCTGAGAAGCTCAAGGAGCTCATATTCTGGAATAAAGTTGTTGAAGATATATAGATACTGGACGTGCATTACTCCTGTGGACAAGGTGTTCTTGATAGGGTGGCCCACTTGTAAAACACAAGGCCTTTCTGAGTGGAGGTTCCGCTTTTAAAGGGAATTCATAGAGAGAATGAGAAAGTGCTCAAGTTCCAACACACAAGGAGTATCAAGTATTTAAATATATCCAAAAGCTTTAAAGAGAAAGTGAATGTAAATGGCCAGGTTTATTCCCACCCATCAGGTTAAGGAAAGAGAAAGAACAAAACCAACAAACACTCCCCTGTTTGTTCACTACATCAAGAACAGACAGTTTGTGTGGTTTTTGGGGGGCAGTCATGTCACTGTGGACAACTTGCACTGCTTGCACTGACTGCTTCCCAGGGCCATCTTTAACGCAGGGCAAAAGGGGCAGTCGCCCAGGGCCCAATCATTGTTGTGGGGCCCAAAGCAGCTGCCCTTTCAGCCCCCTTCATAAGATAAATACATGCAGGGCTGGCAGCCTCACCTGTGTAGGCAATGGGGCGTGCACCAGCCCTGCCCCCTGACTGTGTACACAGCATCGGTGCTCTACAGACAGGAGGCTACATCCAGCAGCATAGACATGCCTCTGGGCTCCGCCCACTATCAACTTGGCCCCACCTCCGGCTCTCCGCTCTCTGCTCTCCTGTGTTGTCTGGGGCCCTGCTGGGAGCCCACACCGTGCCCTGAGATGTCACCCCCAGTGTGTACCCTCCTGCCTCCCCTCTCTGGACCTTCACACCAAGTAAGTGCCCAAATATGCCACAGTTTATGTATGCAACAGATACATATGCAGAGCAGGTTCCTGACATTGCTTCTCTAGTTCAATCTGTGCTGCTGAAGCAGGATAGAGTTTTTAAAGAAAATGTCATTATCAAGTTCTATGTATGGCTGCAGCAAAGCTTCCTGTACTCTCACTACTAGGGATGGAGCTATTGCTAATATTACAAACAGGATCTGTGCTATGGAACAACAAACCCCTAAGCTGCCAAGCTAAAAAAACTGTATATAACACCTAAAAAAACGTGAATTATAAACGTGCCCTGCGCTTTATAGACCAACTGCATGTGCAATCTAATGATAATCTACATGTGAAATAAATACAGAAATATATAAATACGCAGAATCACCCTATGCTGAATAAATACATATTAGGTATTTTT